GGGGGGGGGGGGGGGGGGGGGGGGGAGTGAGCAGAACGTTGGTTAGTTAAACTCGCCCACACTGAGGCACTTATACACACAACTTTGGCGTATCTCCTCGTTAACTGTCCTTAGTGGCGTATAAACTTTTGCCGTCTCTGTTTCCTCGAGGAGAGTCTGCAAAATGGCGTTGCCCATCGCCCTTGAGAAATCTACCCCTCTCTTGCAATTTAAAACGGCGAGTGGTGGAGGGGGGATAGGGGAGGGAGAGGGAAGGGAGGGTTTATAAATAAAAAAAAATATTCTGCATTCAATTTGGTCGGTGAGCGATGAGTTTTTATTTTTTTAATTGAAAAAGTACATGCCCGGAAACGAGCCACTCATCTTACTCCTTCCACTCGTTCCCCTCCATGACTTTCAGTTTCTGTCTGCGTAGACTCGTCGGATTAAACTTGAATCTGAATCCCGTAATTTTTTTTTTTCAGCTGGGTTCTACTACTCAACGGCAATGGCGGTCTAATTGAGCGTGTTTAATGTTTTTTTTTCCTCGGAAGGAAGTTTGAGGGATTTTTAATCTCGTTGAGGGATAAATTTAAATGTCTATTTTACGTAATTTTGGTATTCATTGAGGGGATAATGCAGGGGTTTTTATGAGGAAGGGAATTTTTGCTTGAAAATACATTCTGAGGGATCGGGGTGTTATTGTTCGAGGGCCAGAGCCGTTTGATGTAGTCAAAGGATTTTTGCTCTTTTAGTGATGATAATTGGAGCACAATTTTTTCTTCGGTTAATCGATTATTGGAATATCCACGGTCCTTGTTCCGCATACTTTGTGGGCCATGCAATTTAAACACCCAATTTCAGTAATTTAATTATTATTTATTAACGAAGTAATAGTCAATTGATGAAGAAACAATGACAAATGACAAATTTCTGCACAATAAATAACAATACAATTGAATAACGGGCTATAAGTTAATTAGTGATGCCGGGAGATATTTCACGAGACATCACTAGACAATACTTTGGCGGAATTGTCTCAATCTCAGTGAACACAGAAATTTTTGGTCTCGTCTCAGTCTTGAAATGCGCAGTATCGACTCCTCTTGTGATGACACCGAGTCAATTTATCTCATTTCGGTTTCCAATTTTTCGCGTTTTTTATATGACAGAGACAAAAACTGAGATTTCACATTAAAAAAGACGATAAACTTGAGACCGAGATGAGATAAACTGACTCGGAGTCATCACCAGAGGAGTCAATATTGCCTATTTCGAGACTGAGATGAGAGCTGAGATATTCATGTTCATTGAGACCGAGATCATCTTTCTAAAGTTTGGTCTCGTAAGGTGTCTCGCGGCATCCCTAGTATAAATTACGATATTCTTGTGGTTTTTTGTACTTAGCATTATAGAAATTTCTATCCATTCAGAAAAGTTTTCCAACCCATCCCACTCGTCATAACCCCCAAAACTAAACCAATTTTTCTGATTTTTGTTACAGAAACACAAGTGGATCTCCAAGAAATTCCTTCTGCAAGTGGCGGAAGTGGTGGGGGACGGGTAACCCGTCCCGTAGTATAGTAAGGTAGTTTAGAATAATTTCGGAATTGAGCGGGTAAACGGGGGACCAAAGGAGAGTAAAGTGGATAGCAAACGATGATGAGTATTAAACTTGAATTTCGAGGGCTACCGCCTCTCCTCACACTGCTCATTGGCATAACAATTCTACTCCAAATGCCAAAAATAAGAGCCACCTCATCGGACATTGTCCATCAATTTTACGATGCCGATGTTCAACGAATGAATCACCTTGTTGTTGATAAAAATACTGGACGAGTTTACGTTGGTGCTGTTAATCGTTTGTACCAATTCTCCCCTGATTTGAATCTTGTGGTGAAGGTGGTGACTGGACCGCAGGACGACGCACTGACATGCTCGAGTTTGGATTGTCCTCGTGAAGCTGTTAAAGGTCTAGTTGACAATGTCAATAAAGCACTTGTCATTGATTACACAACCTCACGACTAATATCCTGCAACAGTTTGTTCCAAGGCACTTGTGATGTACGAAACATTCACAATATCACTGATGTTGTCCAGAAGGTCAAAGAGGCTGTGGTTGCTAATAATGCAACAGCATCAACAGTGGCATTCATAGCACCAGGACCACCAAATCCACCGGTGTCACAGGTCATGTATGTCGGTGTCACGTACACTGGTAACTCACCGTACAGGTCAGAAGTGCCAGCTGTCAGTTCTCGTTCACTCGACAAAGACAAGATGCTGAACATTGCTGAATCAGCAGTCACAACTGGCACCAGAATCTACGTTAATTCATTGTCACGTGAGCGCTATCCCATTAACTATATCTATGGATTCAGTAGTGAGGGATTCAGTTATTTCTTTACAACACAGCTGAAGGATACGGAAGCATCGAATTACATATCCAAACTCGTTAGACTTTGTCAAGATGATATGCATTATTATTCGTACACTGAGATACCAGTTGAGTGCAAGAATGAGGGGAGAAATTATAATCTAGTGCAGGCAGCTTACGTTGGCAAAGCTGGCTCTGTACTTGCTGGTGCACTTGGAATAACAGCTCAGGATGATGTTTTGTATGCTGTGTTTGCGGAGAGTGATGCACCAACTAGTCCGAGGCCAAGTAATCATTCTGCACTGTGTGTTTATACGCTGAAGAATATCAGAAGAAAGTTTATGAGGAATATACAGAAGTGCTTCAGTGGTGATGGACAACGTGGTCTTGAGTTTATATCGCCGAGTCACAAATGCGTTCTTACGGTGAGTCAACACTTTCTTATGGATTTATTTGAATTTTGCAGCTAAATTCTGAGAATCAACTGAGAGATTTCTATTACATTCGAGATAATTGGGTTGAGTCTTGCTTTCTTTGTTACGAGGGTTATGGATTCTTGTGCTTTGGTTACTACCGATTGGAAAAGTTTTCGTCTTATCATGGGAAGGAAATTATTTGGCAAAGTGGTGGAGTGTAATCAACAGAAGAGTGTAATTATCGGGGTGGATACAAAGGATGAGGCTGATGGGATCTGGCTCATTGAATAGCCTGGAAAATTTCCGGTGGAAAACACAGCTTGTGAGATGTTTTTACTCGAAAACTCTGGGAGTTATCATGAAACCAATTTCCTCATAATGAAAGCGGTTCTTGCTGGTATTTCGGGTTTGTTGAGGGGGAAAAACCGGGCTGTCGGCATGCGTTCTACAGTGGAAATTTTCTTGGCAATCTGGAGAGACTATTTTCACGCAGAGATAAAAATTTCTGGAATCAGGCATATTGTTCTCATTGGAAAAACAATTCTTTTCTTTTTGTAATTTGAGGATATTAAAATTTGCATTCAATGGGGAAGAGAGAACAGTTAGGCATTTCCCGCAATAAATTGAAATTTATGGCCTGTTTTTTGCGGCAGTGGAAATTGTCCATTTTTACTTTGACTATTATATATTTTTTGAAATTTAAGGAGGAACGACCCCATTTGAGTTTTCCATGTCGTGAATTTACATTCAGTTTAAGATCAAATTGTTACGGGAATTTCTTGTTGATCTTGGAGATTTGATTAAAGAGAGATTTTCAGGATAAGTGGTTAATGATATTTTAATGAATGCTTGAATCCTCATCTTATTGAGAACATCAAACATTGTATTAAATTTAATTGTTAACAAGTTGCAAAAAAATGCAAAAAGTTTCAGTTCTTATGCATGTGCAGCATTCTAAAATCAAAAGAGTTTGTCACAAATTTCCAGTGACAGAACCCTCAATCTTCGGAATTTTGTCCCGAAATTTAAGTGATTGGGGCCCCAATGTTTAGGGTAATTGTAGTAGATGTCAAGAATCCCTAAAAATAAAGGATAGATTTTCAAAAATTGATTAATCCGGAGAACTAAAACTTTGTTTCTCTGAGCAGTTACCGGAGTTTTTATAATTCTCAATAATTTTCATTCTCACCTAAATCTGAAAATTGCAAGTTCATTGAATATTCCAGAAATTAAATCATTCAATCGCAGAATTCCATCAGAAGTCGATTTCATGTCTAAAAAAATGAGGTTTCCCAAGAAAAATTCAATTATTTATTTGTCAACAACGAAGGTTGAAAAAAATAATAATTCTGTGCAAAGTCTAATCTGAATTACACTGACTAGTCATGATTTTTTTCCAATTTTTCTCACGCACTTTAATTAACAAATTTGCTGATAAAAAATGGTTGAATCTATAGTGTAGTTTGTACCAAACTGTAAAAGATCAACTAGACCCCTCTGAAACCCTCACTTTATATTTTCCTCCAAACGTACCATTTCTCTCATGAAATAATTTACTCCAGCTCTCAAAGAACCTCATTCAATCCAGTACGCATGCACTCGTCCCTGAAGCATCACATTGTATCCGTATAATTTTCTCAAGGAAATTAACGCAAGGTATTCTCGATACGTCCTTGTAAAGTCCATTAGAGGGATAAATCAATTGGCAACGGCTCGATATAACCGTTTTATTCTCAACTCAGTACCTGTATTTACGTAACAGGTGGTACTTGGATGAATCGTCGGCATCAATTCCTTCTAAAGTGTACAGTAGTTGTGTATTTAAACATACGCGGTTTCTCCTTCTCATGTTGGGTGTCCTTCCTTCCCCCCCTCCCTCCCCTCGCGTCCCTTCTCTCCTCTTACCCTTCACCATATGCTCAATCCATTACGAAGACGCGTTGAATTGTTGATTATAGCGACGAAGGGAGGAAAGAGAGGAGGGGGAGGGGATGATGGTGGAACGCAAATGATTTTGCACGTTGGTAATGGTGTTTTCAATGTGACGCCCCCCCCCCTCCCCCAGGGCCCCCACAAAACGATTAAATTCACTCTTCACCTGTAGGGGTTACCTTTATCAATTATGCGGTCAGTCTCGGTTGGATGCAATTCGTTATTGTCATGGTAAATAATTAGTCCATTGTTCAATGAGAATTACTGGGGTTTTATTTATTTTTTATGGAGGTTCTTTGGTCTTATCAATTTTATTTTTTCCTGTACCTGGTTTAGTATCGCGGATGAAAGGAACCTTTGAGGACAAGTTGTTTTTATTTCACGTGAGAATACCACCTGCCGCTGGATAATCTCAACGGGAAGATAAGGGGGGATAATATCGTAAAAATTTCGTGTTTGTGTGAGGTTTTTTATTATGGGATGTTGCGTCTTGTTGGAGATAACGGGAAGGCTGTTTGGTGGTTGTTCTTCAGGGTTTCGAGTCCTTTCGGTGGAGCATTTGGGGCTGTTGATGAATGAGTTATTGGAGTTTTGTGGGCTTTTGGTAGGAATTTCCGGGATTTGTGTTGAGGATCTCCAAGTACTTCGGCTATTTTTTCTACAGTGGAATGCTTTTCTACTTTTGTAGTCAAATATCAGAGCTTTCATTAGAGCTCATGTTTCCGGACATTTTACAATTATTTTATTATTTAAACTTTGCAGGTCTGAATTTGAATTGCGATATTGAACCGTTAGAAAACATTTTTTTAATCTGAAATAAAAAGTGATGAAGTTCATTTTGACAGGCAAATTGATGAAGTAATTTGAAAAGTTCAATTTTTGAAAATTATGAGCATTTTCTATGAATAATTTATGAAAAATCACTTTTCCACCATAAAAATAATTTATTCGGAATCGAAACAAATTTATTCATATTCAGAATTTTGCCAAATATCGATTTCATGCCTCAAAAAATAAGGTTTCCGAAAGTTTTAGCAATTTCAATAATTTATTTATAAACAACTGTGCAAAAGTTAATTTCAATGACGCTGGATATTTATGATTTTTTTAATTAGGAAATTTCAAATTTCTTTAGAAATTCAATGTAATTCCAAATTTTTTATGAGCACGGTTGAAAATTGTTGACTGAAATTTCCGGTACATTCCTTGAAAATTTATATCACATTCTAGTTCTACTCAAATTGCAAGGCATTTTATCACTGAAAATTCCCAATTAAATTGTGAATTTTCAGGGACAAAATTCCTTGGAATTTCAGTGAAACGATCACTCACTAAAAATTTTCAAGAATTCGATAAAAAATTTCATTCAAAAAATTCTAAACAATGCCTTCCCATAAAAGGAATTTCGCTGAGTCTAGTCTGACCTTTAATCGTCCATCTATCATCACCAAAAAAAGACTATTCAAGGAAATTTCAATGCCACGTTCCCACGGATCATCACGCTGAAAAAGAGTTTAGTATTTCTCGGGATCTTTGAATGAGTGGGATATAATTTAACCGAATGACAAAGAGAAAAAAAATACCTTCATGTGGCAATGGGGAATTAAATGGGAGAAAAACTCGAAAGGAATGAGGAAAAAAATTATGTGCTTTAGACCGGCCGATTAGTTCCAATTAGTGACGGAACACTCGACGACGAGATTGATCGAAATTGTGGACGAAGGATGGTAATAATATTTTTTCTCTCGTCCGTGCATTTCCCAGAATTGGGTCGCCCGGGGTTATCGTTTCTGGAATTATTTACACGGATGTTCTGTCGAATGGCATTCACGTATGTACCATTGGTTTCGAGTTTTGGTAACTATTGATTTCATTTCATGTATAGACAATTTTTTATTCCAATGGGGTTTCAAACTTTTTCGGGGGGTGGGGGGTTATTTTGAATTGTCAATTGAGGTCTTGGTATCAAAGCGCTTTAATTGGTAATCAACAATGTAGGGATGCATAAAAATAAACATCTCGTGGTGAAAATTTATTGAGTTTGCGGTCATTTAATGCGGGAATTGAATCAGTTGGAGCAGCTAATTGATTTATAATACTGATGGCGATTCGAATAAAAATGGAGTAGGTGACCCGAATCGATAATTAAATTATAGGGATTTATTTTTAGAGATCTTTACAATTTTCCGATAATAGTCTGGACTTTCAATTTATAGAAATATTCTTTATTTGAGAATGAATGAAATGAGTCTGGTAAAGATTACAATATTTTAGGTGAAAATTGCACAAAAATATGTAACAGATAAAAAAAATTCTAGTTTCCATAGACAAAATACTGATTTTAACACACTCATGGTTCTAGGAGGCATTATATTAAGAATCATAAAATGGTTGCTTGATTTTAGAAGAAAAATTCCTGAAATTCACTACCGAAATCCTTCTTATTTCAAGTGAGAAGAGTTTTGAATAAAAAATAATTGGATTCTTCAACTGAGAATATTTCAAAAGGATAAAGTTCCGAAATAGTTGAGCATTAATTCAACATTAGTTGAGTCAAGGTGTCAGGTGATGTACTTTGAATACCAATGGAGTCAGAAACATGAATATGTTCATTTTTGAACAGGGAAAATCATTAATTCAAGAACGAGAGTGTTTTTTAATTTGAGAACTCCAAGGTGCTTATTTTAAGAAACCAAAAGTTTTGAATTCTAGAACCAAGATCTCCTGAAAATCAGAAAAAAAACAAACGTTAATTTACGTACAAGAATACTAGATTTGAGTAAAAATTACTTAAATTGAGTAACAATTAGAAGCTTTTTCTCCGATTTAAGAAAAAAAAATTTAAGGTATTCATGGCGCGGTCAGGAGGGTCGAAAAAAAGTCAAGAAAATATTATTATTATTATTACTGATTGGTTTTCTGCAGAAGAACAATAGATCCCCTCCGTCTCACTTCCAACATGCCCACCGCGCCATAAATACCTTAAAGTAAATAAAAATTCTTACTCGCTAGACAAAAAAAATAGTTTTGATTCTCAGGGACTAACTGTTATTGTTTGAGGAAAAACAAACATATTT